ACACCTGTAATGCCAACACTTTGAGAGGCCAGTTCTAGACCAGCTTTGGCAACACAGTGAGACCATGTCTCTACAAAAAAAAAAAAAAGTTAAAAATCAGCAGGGTGTGGTGGCACATGCCTATAGTTCCAGCTACTTGGGAGGCTGATCCAGAAGAGTCACTTGAGCCCCCAGGTGTTCAAGGCTGCAGTGAGCTTTGATCATGCCACTGTACTCTAGTCTAGGTGACAGAGTGAGACCCCATCTCTTTTTTTTTTTTTTTTTGAGACAGAGTCTCACTCTGTTGTCCAGGCTAGAGTGAGTGCCGTGGCGTCAGCCTCGCTCACAGCAACCTCAATCTCCGGGGCTCAGCGATCCTACTGCCTCAGCCTCCCCGAGTAGCTGGGACACCAGCATGCACCACCATGCCGGCTAATTCTCTTTGTATAGTACTACTTGTTTCAGTTGGTCAGTTAATTTCTTTCTATTTTTGGTAGAGACGGGGCTTGCTCAGAGCTGGTTTCAAACTCCTGACCTTGAGCAATCCGCCCGCCTCGGCCTCCCAAAGTGCTAGGATTACAGGCGTGAGCCACCACGCCCGGCCTGAGACCCTGTCTCTTAAAATAATTTTTTTTAATTAAAAAAAGGATTCTGTTAAATTTTTTTGGAGTAATCATGAATTACATAATTAGCAAAATTAGCATTTTTCTTTTCGTCTTATAACAAAGCATATATGAATTTACTCAACTTGTGCAAGGAGGGTTTTTGTTTTGTTTTGTTTTTGGCATATATGTTAGGTTGAGTTGTTTATCATCAGCACCATCTTGGGTTAAGGCTTCTTCAGTACCCATTGGACGTGTCACAGAGTGTTTAAAGTCTGCTGTCATATAATTCAAGGCCTTAGGAAATGGCTCATAATTTTACATTTCTCACAGAGAAATAATTACCCTGTGAATCCTTTTATCAAATTAAAGCCTTATTTCCCAGTGATTCTTAATCTTAATCTTAACAACATTTAAAAGTTCTTAAAATCAAGGTGACTAAGGAGGCAGTATCTTGAAATAGAAAGAATACTGGTCTTGGGCCTCTCTGGGCTGGAACAAGCCCTGAAACCATTTTCTCAACTGTACAATGAAGAAAGTCATTGAGATAATTTCTGAGGTCCTTTCTGCACTTCATATTCTGAGTTTGAACATTTCTTTTATTTTTTGGTTTCAGTTAGAACTTTCAAAAGCCACCTTTCAAAGTTCAGTGAGATTTCTCTAGCTGCTTAATTTCATCTCTCTTATGGTTTGGATATAAGACTGTGTCATTTGGCTCTAAGATCGGAGTTAAAGCGATTGTTGACTGGGGAATTGGAAGTGGTTGGTGTGCTTTCTCCCTGCCACACCCCTCCAGTTCCTCATTCACAGTGAGCCACTGGTGCCTAGTGGGTGTACTTTGTTTCTTTCAACTGTGTTGGGGTAGATAAAAGTTTACAATATTGCTTATTGTGTTCATGTGACCACTTAATGTCCCAAATCACTATGTGCAGTTAAGCTTCACAGTTGCTGAGGTGAGGCACTGCGTTGAAGTCCTACAAATGGCATTAGTTCCTGGCTTCTTTCTAACACAAAAGATACATCACAAGTTCCTGTTCCAGAAAGGAACTGAAGGACAGCTGTTTCATGCAGTGTAAGGTACATTTCTCCTCCGCTGCTACCCAAGTCTAGAAATACGACCTGAAACTTTGTCTACTCAGCCCATTTTCAGCTACACAGTTATGGTATCTTGCTGCGTGTTGATTGAGAGCCTCCTCAGTAGTGTGTTGGCAAATGCCAGCTGTTTCTCTGCAGACTCTTCTGTTTCTTCTTTTCTTCTAAAGTGTACCTCTTTGCTTGCCAGTACTTAGTAGGTGTTCTCTATGAATAGAGAAACTAGCCTAGTAGAAGAGACAGACAAAAAAATTAATTACAGCAATGTTGCTATAATTACAAGTGCAGTGGTAACAGAGATATGCACAATATGTTAAAGAACCAGACAGTCGGAAACACCTGAAAAGAGGAAATATTTAAGCTGGGTCCTGAGGGAAACAGGAGTCGGGCAGGAAGTGGGAGGGGCACTGGGAAGGACATGTCTTTGCACAAACTGTGAGTCAGGGAGCTGTAAACAGGGGGCGGGCTGCAGGGAAGGGAAGATTTAGAGATGATGGGGATGAAGCTTGAAAGGTAAATTAGGTGCAAGATCATGTGATCAATGGAGAGCTGTGAAAGATGGGGGTGGGGAGGATGAGGAAGTGGATGTGGCCACATTTGTCTTCTAGAAAAATGTCCTGGCATCAGAAGACACACTATATCGGAGCGCAGCCAACCAATGGCTCTGCAAAGAGATCACAGAACTTAGCAAGATTATTTTCTTACCCACTTTAATCATATGCATACTATGTAAAACATCACTCCACACACCCACACCCCGGGTTCTATGGGAATAGGTAACTAAAAAAAAAATCCTTTAATGTTATAACACCACCACTTTAGTCATAAATATACCTTTAAAAACACCACCCAGACAAACCCACACAGACAAGCGGTGGCATCAGCGCTTTTAAGTAGAGGTCTAGGTTCCAAGGATACACCAAAAGTATGATGCAGTTTTGAGAGACTTTATTCTTTTTTTTTTTCTTTTTGAGACAGTGAGACCCTGTCTTCTCTTGGCTGGGTGGGGCAGCTCACACCTGTAATCCTAGCACTCTGGGAAGCCAAGATAGAAGGATTGCTTAAGGGCTGGAATGCAGTGGAGTCATCATAGCTCACTGCAACCTCAA